AACAGATGTTTTTTTTTTTTTTTTTATAAAATTTCATACAATTAATTCAATTATATGTTCAACTTGAAACAGAGTTTGAATTTAAAAAAGCAGAAAGCTTAATCGACCTCACGCTCGCATCTCTAAATTTATTCTCGTAGAATAAAAGAGCTGAGCAGAGAAGCAGCTGACTCTGTTTTACAGTTTTTTCGATTTCTCGAATAGTTTTTTCACTTTTATGTAAATTTATTCACTTCATTCATTCAAACAAAAATTATAACATTTTCGGAAATAGCACAAATTACTGTTATAAATAAAAGCAGAATTAGTAGTATTGGCACAATAAAACTAGTTGTGTACGAATATGGAAATATATTATATATATATATATATTTTTTTTTTCAAATCAATGTTAAGTTTCAACTTTTGGTGAATATTTGTGTATGAAAGATTTCGTAGTAAGGGTATACATACGAGTATACTATTTATATTAATTAGAAAAAATTTCATTGGAAAATATTTTTTTTTTACTCATTCAAATTTAATTATGTCACAAAGCGCCGAAAAGGTGTTATTTTTAATGGAAACAATTTTTTTTATGTGACAATGATATTGTATTATGAATGTACGAAATTTTTAATATGCAGGCATAAATGAATGATTTATAACATTCAAGGATACATGCTGATAACGATATCGTTATAATACAAGTACTTTACGCTATCAACGTACTGACTCATACATTTATATATATATAAATGTATGTATATTTTATTTAATTTTTTTATCATATCAATACAATAGGTTTAATGACTTTTCACATTTCATAGTAAATATAAAAATGTTAAAATTAATTGATAGGAATTCCCCGAAAACTCGTATGACAATTCCGGGATAGTACCTACATGCCATCAGGCCAATTGTAAATGTACAAGTAAAACAAACTTGGTGATGAGGCAATAGAATCTGTATTGCAAAAAAGAGAATACGTTATTCATTATAATTAGCGTACACGAGTCACGAGTATTGTACTAATTGTATGATGTCAGACGCTATGTATGACAAGCCTCCCAAGTTTTCAACTTTCTTTTCATTTTTGCTTTTGTTAAGCGAACCGTTTTTGCAACCAAACGTACATACAATTAGCTGCTTGTTTCAGTTCATTGAAAAATATATATGTATGAACTTATGGACGTATGCATGTATTACGTATGTAAAAAACGTAAACGCACACTAATATCAAATGCTTTGGTTTACTACTGTTTTTACACTTTTCCATGTATTAATATTCATATTAAAGTAGGTGCACACATATGGATGTATATATGCACTTGAAACTATTGTATATAACACCTGAATTAAATAAGCAACCAAAAATTCGTAGAAGCCACGAAAAACACTTACTTGCTGAGTTAAGTTGCTTCAAATATAATTCATGCTAAAATTTAGTTTCTTTATTTTTCAATATGACATTCACAAACTCATTTCGTTTCTATTGTAAATTCACAGGAACAATTAAAAATTTCCCACGAATTGAAATAAAACGAATTGAAGTACATATTTTTTTTTGTATTTTTCTCTGCCACACGCTGATACTCATACAATACAATACAAGACAATACATATGAAATAATATCACACTCGTACACCTTTTCCTAGAGTTGGCAACCGTGAGTCAATTCTCAGCTGCCTCGTTGTTTCTCACTCTTTCATTCACACTCAAATTCAACTTGTCTCATACAAGAAAACACACACACCCCATACACACCGAGATCGTACATTGCCGTCGAATGTGATGTGGCGCTCAGCGCTTTGCATTGGCCACACAGCACCCCGCGTACTTTGCTCCGATCATTCACACTTTTGTATTTACTTTTCAACTGTATGCTTGTTTGTATACGTATTGCTTTTGCCTTGATGCCATGCCATGCCGTCCTCATACAACTATATGCGCGTATAATTTGTTGTTGCCTCTGGCTGTTTCTGTTGCTGTCTTGTCTGTCATTTCTGAGAATTCGGTCTAAATTAGAAATGCGCTTCTCGGAAATTGGTATCTCAATGCGTCAATAACTTTTTTTCTTTTTACTTCTTTTGGCCGTTTTCTGCTTTTTGATTATAATTTCTTGGAATTATTCGCGTTTAACCAATATTCAATTTATAGTGTACACAATTTTTAATCAGACATAAAATACTTTCGCGATTTTCACTGCAATAATCTGTTTTATAATACATCAATTTGCACCAAATTCCAAGAAATCACTACATAGTTGATTTTTACGATTTCTCGGTATTTACCTGTATGAGCAGCACTTTTTTTTATTTTTCCCAAATTTAAAAGTATTTTATTTTTCTTTATTATGTTTTCACTCTCTTGCACTATATAGCATTTAGTATATTCATATATTCCCTTGTAATAATTATTCCAATTAGGTTTCTTGTTACTCGGTCAGTTGGTAATATTTAACTAATAACAATTTCTTGTTTTCATAACTTTTATTGGTTTCTTCACTCTGCGATTGATGCGAATTTAACCAAACGCCATACTTGCTGGCACTAAAAACTGGAAATAAATTGCAAAACAGGAGGGCCGATAACTTACAGGGTTGCATTCTACAAAAATTTCCCACTACATGTCAGTGATGCCAGATGAGTGAAATTTATGCAGTGAACAGTGTTGGACATTACTAAAAAGATCGCATGCTACATTGTGGGCGTTTTTCATTGGTGGCTTCGAAGTAGATATTAAGTTAGAAATACTACGTAATATATGGGAAACACCTAATGTGACTGTAAAGAAAAGTAGAGACTGTGTAAAGCTCACCAAATATAATATTATATAATTGAAGCTTTTTAACCGTTGAATCAATTTTCGGCCGAGCTCTTCCTTCACAAAAAATATTCGTTTTTTCCAACAGCTCGTACCAAGCAGTTTCCGCACGGATGAGTAGCCTCTGCCGAAAATCTACCACAATTAGGAGATTTTTGGATGCTGATGTGGCCAGTGCTGGAACCCCGGCCTTCAGAATGTCAATGCACAGTTCTAGACACTCGGTTACTGCGGCCACCAATATGATATTGGTGTGTAGAAAACGTCTTAGAGTATTTGCAATACTCAATTCAATAAGTTCTAACTGGATTTCCATTCAATTAATTCCAATTAGATTTCCTAGGGTGAAATACGGTTGTTTTTCCGTTGTGACTTTTTAAAGAGCTTAAATGGTCCGTCTAAAAGCATGCCTTACAAGCGCAACCTGAATGTAATCTGATCAATCCTTAAGAAAGTATCGCTCAGGTGCTGTCTGGCGTTTTTTGCGAAATAAGCAACCGTTAGAAAACTAGTATGATGGAGATTATTCCGCATAGTACATACTGTTACGATTTTATTAAATCCCCTCGATTATTTTCTAGATCCTTCGGGTACGATCTCTGGATTGTTAAATAAAAACTCGCCAACTTAATTTGCAGTTTCTTTCGTTATAAAGATTCTATCTAATGTCCTTTATTTTCTCAGTAATTCACAATTCAATTATACTGCACTTTACTATTTATAATCACTAACATCAACTTTCACAATTTACTATACTTAAATGTAATTCCCAACGCGTTCACTTTACGTCTTCACTGATGTTAACGCCAACCAATTTGCTTTGTCACTGCTTGACTTGCAGCTGAGTGTCGCCTTTATATAGCAGTCGGCTGCTCGCAGACGAAAGCGTAGAAGCATCGAATTGTTCGCTATGGAAGGTTCTTGTTTTATCGTTTCTAGAACGTACTAGTTATCGGCTTCTCTCTTTCATCTGACATTCGCCTCGCATTTTCGCAACAATACTGTGGTCGGTCGCAGCGTTGCCAGATAGACAGCAGCCCAACAGTCCTCATCATATCAGTTCTGCTTCCGACAATATCAAAAACTAATTGTTTCTCTTGCAACGTGGTGTACAGATCTTGATGACCGCTCTCAGAAAATAAGAGTATATTGGAAATCCGGTTGGCTTTATGACTTTGTACCATCATTGTATTTTACCGAGCGTGTTTTGCTGCGCAGAGGCGAGTGTTTAACTTTGCTGCTACAAGATAGCGGTTCAAATCGATGTCGAGTACTCTGAGAGTACGCACGTCTGGAACACTGAATACATATCCTCCGTTCATTACAACATGACCAATCTGTTTTCAGGGTCCGATAAAGTCGATTTGCGTCATCCCATTTGAGCTTGTTTCGTTATAGAAGTTGAATTTTCCCCCCCGAACGCGAATTGGAGAAGTTCACTTTGATGCGGATTTCGGTAAGACGTTCATCCACCGAGCTGAATGTCAGGACTCGGCTTCTGAATTTCTCACCCTTCGGCTGCTGTAGTACATGTCATATTACATTATACAATTGGACAGCTGAACCTTGCCAATTAATGGATCAGACGTTTCAGGCGTATACCCAATCAATATCAACTTAAACCCTTGCGGTTGAATCTCTCTTAAACCGAATAAACCACCCTCTCTCTTTTAGCCGTGATGCAAGGCCTCAAGCTGGTTTGCTTACCGCATCTCACACAAGGGTTGATCTCGTTTCCAGATTGTGCGATGAGAATGCAAGTGTAGGATTTGGGTATAGCCACACGCCATTACGCTTTTTGGCCTTAGGTGTAAGATCAAAGTGAGGTACTTAAATTAGAATCTGGAAATTCTTCAAAGGGTCTTTGGCGTTGGACAACAGGACCTCAAGTCAGATTTTTTACGGTCAACTGAGTACTAACATAACCTAAACTATTTTCTTAAATGGAAATACTTTAATATATTTCAAAATTGCTTGCTGCCTTTTAAGAGATCATCTCATGCTCACCACCCCACATGTCATGTCAGCATTTCCAGACTGTATTTCAGCGTTAAATCTCTTACTTAACTCGTCTATTGTTATTTTACTTTAAGATAATACTATTTACATATTAATATGTGTGTACACACATACACATTTATATATATATATACACATTTAATGATAGCGGTTATCAACATTACGAAAAGCAGTTTATGAAGGCAAATATGATCTTTTCGGGCAATAGTTTGCATTTGTAATTCCAGCATCAAACATCGTGTGGCGGTTGTCCGTCATCCAAACTTCGAGCGTGCCAAGAAAACTACCGACCTTGTGTGTGTCAGCGAGTGTATTTTTTAGTAGCTGATTTAATTTAATTGCCTTCAATTGGATTTGGAGCTTTGTCACAGCTTGAGTGGGCGGTCAATTAAAATTTGAAGAAAGCAGAGCACATGATGGATCAAGCTGATAATACACAGATACGTCGCTCAATATCGATGCCGGTCAAACCGCGTCCAATCGAGCAGAAGTCACTCAAACGCTCGGAGGAAAAGGAAAGAATTAACGACTCCAGAGACTATTATCCAGAGAGTCCCATTGTAGAGCGAAGGGGTAAAAGCGATTTGGATAGCCACATAAGCAGGAGTGCAAATAAGTGAGTTTATTCATCCAACCAAGTTATTTCTTTCATAAAAATAAATTAAAATAATATTAAGTATTAAAATTTATAAGTAAAATAAATACATATGTATGTACATATATAAATTTCTTTCTTCGAATTAAACGTACATTCCTTAATCTTTAAATCCGACAATGACTCATGTCCACATACAACTTATGGAGCACGGAATGATTTACCTATGTACATATGTATGTATGTATGTCTAATAAAAATATAAAGTACAATAAATATAAGTGACACAATTTTATCACTTAGATAATCAAGTGTGACTTCCACATATATTTCGTATATTTACGTATGTATGTATGTATGTATGTATGTATGTATGTAAGTACATATTGTATAAGTAATTGCGTCAAAATTCGCTGTTTTAGTGATTAAAGGGCATGTTGAATAATCCCTGCAAGGTTCAAGAATTTATTCACGGCACGACATGCCTGTCGTAGGAGGCGACTAAAATCCAATAGTTCTTGCGACAGTCGGGCTTTTGCAAAGGGAAAAACGAAAGTTCGACCAAGAACTGTCACTCCCGCAATATTTCCCGAAAAGCATTTTGATGAATATTTTTTGCTTCTACTACAACAACAACAATAATATTTTGTCCAATTTCGAGGAAGATTTTCCGGAAGGGACTTTGCTTGTTGCGCCTCGAAGCCACAGCGGACTTCGAAAACAAGTTCTACTTTTACTTGCGCGAGGCGGGCGACTACATTTGACTCGCACTGTTACTTTTCGTTACTCCATCGCTTTTCTTTTATTGATGAGTGCATAAGTTCGTGCCCGATTTCAAGTGCAAACTAAAATTGAGATTTTTTGAAGAAAGCGCTTTTATTAATCAATTATGTATTCGTGATTTCCCAATTCATCTCCTTAAGTTGGGCAGGGTCGGTTTTGTCATGATGGAAAAGAACTCCTTTGCGATTGGCCAAAATCGGACGTTTTTCATCAATTGCTTTCTTCAATTCGACCAATTGCTGACAATACTTGTTGGCAGTGATTGTTTCTCCAGCTGGCAAGAGCTCAAAATAGATCACGCCTCGGATATCCCACCAAATGGACAGCAGTACCTTCATCGGATGCAATGCACCTTTCGACATCGGTTCCGCCTCTTCGTGTGCCTGTTTCCATGTTCTTTTGCGTTGAACATTGTTGTACAGGATCCATTTTTCATCACCAGTCACGAGCCGATCCAAAAAAGGTTCGTTTTTGATCCGTCGAAGCAAAGAAATTGCTGTTGACATACGGTCCACTTTGTTTTTTTTTTCACTCAACTGATGTGGCACCGATGTATCGAGCTTCAAAGTGTACCCAACCTTTTTTAAACGACGAAAGGCAGTTGATTTGTTGACGTTCAATTCACTGGCAACCTCTTCCGTCGAAATACGTGAGTTATTCGCAACTAAAGTCCTTAGAACATCGTCGTCAAGCTCAGAAGGCCGTCCACTGCGAGGTTGATCTTCGAGGTTAAAATCTCCAGAACGAAATTTCGCGAACCATTTATTTACTGTGCGGAGTGCTGGAGCACGGTACAAACAAACTTCGCGAATATCTTTAGTTGCAGCGCCTACTGTTTTTCCTTTGCGGAATTCGTTTAACATAATATGACGCATATGATCTTTTTCGTTGTCCATCTTCCATGCGTCTTTTCACTAAGCAACTCAAATCAAAATGAATAATTTTATAATATGTATATATTTCTTTCACGAGCGCCACTCTCAAACGATTCGAACGGCATCCAGCGGATTCGGGCACGAACTTATGCACGCATCCATATTTCTACCCATGAGCCGTAAATGTCGAGTCAGTAAGTGTGTACTACCATGTTGAAGATCTTGAGTAAAAAACTTGCTCCGATCAGTATCAAAAAAAAAAATAATAGAAAATTAATTTATCTATAATTCTTTTTTATGTACATGAAATTGTATATTTACTTTGGTTCAAAGTATGTAAAAAACAGAAGGAGAAGAGATCGGAACATGTCCGTCTGTTAGTCTGTTTGTACGCAAGCTACGACTTTAGTTTTTGAGGCATTTCAATCAAACTTGGCTAGTGGATGCATTTGTATACTGTATCAATCATTTGACGGAACAGACCAGATCGGACAATTGTAGTAACCGATTTGTTCCGATAAGTTAATTTCGGTAAAAAAATTCGTCAAAAATGCATTAAGAGCATGAAATTTTGTGTACTACACACGCATGTAGAGCAACTAAATATTGACACCGAAAATCATCGAAATCGGACGCAATATCCACCATACAACGGTCAGCTTAAAATAAAAAGCTCCTCAAAGGTAGCTCCATTTGTTAAAAAGCATATAAAATTACACCAGCTTTTGCTTTATTATGAAGAAGAGGGTTTCCCATTATGGAATAAGTTCCAGCCGTGAGGCCCACCGCCGCTTACAGCAATTGGTCTCGTTTGTCAACGATAACGCGCCAAATATTCTCTATCAAGGGCTTATCTGCGTAGACAGCGATATAACCGAACAAAAAAGGGTAAAGCGGTGTTAAATCGCATGATCTTAGAAGCCACATTGCGAGCTAATACGCTTACCAAAAGTTTCCTTCAATAAATGGATTCTTTCGTAGGCTGTATGGCATGTAGCATCGTCTTGTTAGAATCAAAAGTAATCCACATCAACATTCCACAATTCAGATAGTGAAGCTAAAACCGGCTTTATTTTTGAAGAAATATGAGCTAATGATTCCCTCTGTCCATAGAGCATACCAAAGAGTTATTGTGCGACAATTTGTTAACATACCAATTCAACCAAAAGTGAGCTTCATTGCTGAACAAAATGTTCTTGTTAAACTCAGAATCAGTGACCTTCTTGTTTTGGAACTATTCACCGAACGTACAACGCGCTTGATGGTTGTTCGAATGAACTCATTTGGGTCTCTTTCGATAATATGCTCCACAGCAGCAATAGCGTCTGCCGTGTGCACCGTATGGCGGCTCTGAGTATGCGCATTATCCACGCGGGCGCACGTTTTGCAAACATTGTACCGGCGTAAGTCCGTACATTATGAAATGGCAAACCAAACTAAGTATTATATAAAGGGCATAATACAATGCCAACCGACTGTGCTGGCTTTCTTTGACTCACTTACTTTAGATGCTTGTATGACTAAATGAGCGCTTTCAACGAGGTCGAAGCTCGTATATTTCGGCCAAAGTCGCCGCTGTGGTTACAGTACCTAGATACTGTCAAAAGCACTGGCGTAAATTGCATAGATCTCTTTGAAATTTTGCAATGTTTCAAGTTCTTACAGCGAAGCTACATTTGCTCTATTTTCATAAGCGGACACCCCTTCGTCCCCACACCGAGTATGTTGCTGACTTGAAGTAACAGGCTCCTCATAAAAATCCATTACCCGTGCGGATATCACTCAGAAATGTCTGCTAAACTGAATCCCCTCCAGCCATGCAACATGTGCATTCTTTGTTTGTTTTGATAGAAATAACATTTCAAATTTTTGACAGATTTTTGTAAATATTTAAATGTTTATTTTGGCGCGTTATCTCGACTCTACTTCTTAGCCTACTTAACTAGCCTAACTTTTAACTAACAAAGTTTTATAAGAAAACACAAATACATACATACATATATTTACACACATTTATAATACAATACATACATATATAGCATATGCACTGATTTTTACGAACTGTAGCTTGCATTAATACGCCGCCCTGCTTTTTTAATCCCAAACAGTGTTCCTTGTACCAGTGATTGGGTTGGCAGCACAATAGAATTGAATCAAGACAACAGCTACAGTGGTAAGAGAAATACAATACAATACAATCATCATTATAGTATATTACTTCATATGTATGTATGTATGTATGCTAATATGCGGCTTTAGATGCCATGTGTTCGCAACGTCGTCATCATCGTGTGATCGAGAAGAATGGCCGTGAGAATGTAAGCTTCCGGCGTATACCACAGAAGTCCTGGCGTTATGTTAGAGATTTGGTAACGACAATGGTAAGCGCGTTCGCACATTTATTTCCAAAAAAAAGTCTAACATCAGCATCATCGAATGTGAATAATACGCTAACACCGGCATCGACTAAACTAAGTTTTGAACAATCGGAAATAGCGTCATATACGGACGATGATGCATACAGTGATTCGGAAGTAATTCAAATAAAAAATAATACAAAAAATGCAAATTCTTAAAATGAAAGTGTTGCAGCATATGTATATACTTAGTATGTACGCGTATGTATGTAGGCGCGGCCCACAAAGCCATAACAAGCATTAATGCATTAATTTTAAATTTACGCATAAACTAATGTATTGTTTATGTAAATATGTATGTGTAACAACTAAAAACTAATAACATAAGTCACCATTGTACAAATTTATCTACATACATATATGTAACTGTATCTATGTATATACTCTGTCAAAAACATACCGGGAATCATTATACAAATAACAAGTTAGTTTCACTCCAAATATTTTTCAAAAATATTAACCAACTGACGTAAAAAGATTTTCTGACTTTTGCTTTGTTTTTGTGCTACCAATTTCATTTTTTAGAAAATTAATTTTCAACTTTATAAAATTAAAAAAAAAATATATTACAAAAAATGCAAAACCTTTCAATGTAAAAAAAAAAAAAAAATCAAAACTAAAAACTACTCACAGAAAACTCAAGGGCTTTGCATTCTATTTTCTGAAATCTAAGGAAATTACAAATATTTTTAGGCGATTTAACATTTTTTTTTTATAAAAATATATACAAATATTTTCGATGACTTAACATTTTTTTTTATAAAAAAAATATAGGAAATATTTTTAAAGTGACAATAACTTGAAGTTAATATAACATTGTTACCGGTAAAGTAAATTTTGTTACTTTTTTTTTTAACACCCGAAATTGAATTTGGTAATCCGGCGAACTGGTTACAATGTTTGAAAAAAACTTTGGCAGCACTGCTTTTTTTCGTCCTTGTCAAATTACATTTTCCCTTTGATAAAGTAAAAAAGAAGAGTATTCACTTCGAAATGGAAGACGGTGCACAACAAAATAAATAAGTTTTATATATTTGTTTATCCAATCATAAATATTTGAACCAAATTTTGGAAAAAATGTCCAAACGACAAAAAAAAAACTGAATGAAAACGCTATCTTCCAAATTAACAGTGGTAATTTTTTCTCGCAACTTCTTAGCATGCGACTTTTTCCACTTTTATCCTCATCTTCAATGTATTCCAGGTCTAAAACATGCACACCCATTTTTTTTTTTTTTTTTTTTTTAAACTAAGAACACAAAACCACACAGTCGATATTTTGTTACGTCCTATTTCGCTGATAACAAAATTTACAGGGTGACAGTGAATTTTATATTGATTGATACTAGCTTCCTCTTTTTTTGTACCAAGCCGGGAACTAAAATTTTAAAAGCTCAACCAGTCATTTAATATACTTGCCAATCTTACCACACGGTACTAACGTCCTCAAGGGCGCCGTAATTTACATGCCGCTCTCATAAGATAGGTTGCATCAGCTGATTTGCTGTTATTGGACTATCAAAATCGTGCTTAAAGGAACGGACCAAAACATTTTTGTTGTTAAGTTGACACATTGGACTTCTGTACTGAATTCAGTAACATAAAATCTGGAAAATTTAAAATAACAAGTTATAAATGGTAAAGTAGATTCCTACAGTTTTTGCTGAATTTTGTGGCGAGAAATTCATTCAAAACGATAATCTCGTGAAATTATCTTGAATTTCTCCGTTCAAATAATGTGCTTCATTAAGCGCCTAAACTAAAGTAAAGAAAGTGGTCAGGGTTATCTAGATTTTTGATCGACACTGACATGTGTTTTTCGGTTTCGACAAAGTTCGAAGACGACTTTTCGGAGCTTGTTCACTGGTTAGCATATCAAACTCGCAAGCTCATATCTCATCACCACTTTTAAAGCGTTTTATGTATGCAGGCTTGGAAATATGTAACTCGTTCTAGCATCTCTTCAGTGACCATTATACGATTGAAATCGATTTCCGTAATGTGTTTTGACAGAATGTATATAAAACCATTTTACTTTTAATTTCAATCAAATAACAAAGCATCAATTAAAAAAATGTACATAGACATATATTCCTATAAATATATACTCAATAAGTATTTATGTTGGCACTTGTTTAAATTATAGCATTTTTCGAAATAAACTTTAATTAACAACTAATGCATTGTTTTTTTTCTTAATTTACTGCTACTTCATCACAGCAAAGAAAACAGATATTAAATTATTATTTACTAATTTGATAATGCGTTTAAAGAAAACATTAACCAATTGGCAGCACCGTTCACGCAGTATTGTTTCTGCTTGTATATTTCTACATCAGCATTCGCACAGATTGACAGCACTTATTGGCATTGTACGTACGAGAAATTGAAACTAACGGAAACTACCGTTTCTTTATGAGCTACAATAATTCATATTTATAATTACCATTTATTTAAATAAAATAACTTTAAAAAAGGTAATTAAATGCCAAAATTATAATTAATATAATATATTGAATACATACATATTTGTGCATATACATACATACATAAATATGTACATACAAAATATTCTTATGCAGATCGAATTAGAATGGAAATATATGCTGACGATTTTTATTGGAAGCTATTTTCTCTCATGGTTCTTCTACGCTTTACTAAACTATATGGTTGCCTATTCGCATGGTGATCTGATGTTTGATGAAGTGACGGGCGAACGTTTGGGTGAGGGTAAGGAGCCATGCATTAAGGGCGTATATGATTTTGTTTCGATGATTATCTATTCGGTGGAAACGCAAACAACAATTGGTTTTGGTGAAAAATATGCTAGCGATGATTGTCCTGAAGCCATATTCCTATTTGTTATGCAAATGATAACTGCAATTGGTATTGAAGGTATGCTCGTCAGTATGGTATACGCGAAGACAGCAAGACCGGCTAAACAGATTACGAAAATGAAATTTAGCAATAAGGCGGTGGTGAGTAGAATTATAAACGCTTTACAGCTTAATCCACTTTTCTCAACTTGGTAGCTGAGATTCTTCTAGGTTATGCCAGCTCAAGTATGCTGCGTGTTGGTGGTCATATTTTTAGGTTAATCGCACTATTTGAGTAAATATGATTGGCTATAGTAGTCAAAAGGCTGTATTTACATATGCTAACTTTCATTGCAAGTCAACGGGTAACTTATACGCCCCGACTAACGGAAATGTTTTTAATTTGAATAAAACATCCGCATGCTGTGGCGGATGATCAACTTTTTGAAGAATTTTTCTAAGCACTTTGCAATCTTGAAACGGAAAACAGTAGGATGCACTAAAACACATATTTATATTAACAAGATAAAGAGTTAAGCTTATTCAGCTATGTTTATTTGTATGTCTGCCGGAGCACAATATCGTTATCGAGATATTAGGACGAGATCTGGCATGTATTTCATTCAAAAAACCATCTTAATCAAATATAAAAGAAGTATCAACACATAAGTAAATACTTTTACAATAGAATAAAATTTACTCCGTGGGTTTCCGTGGCTTATTTTTCTGGTTAAAGTAAAGAATTCTTCCTAGATAAAAACTAAAAACAATTTCAAACGGAAAATTTAAAAATTTTAATTGTTATATAAATTATAGTACGTACCACCAACATGCTCGAATTGACTTTACTTATAGATAATTTATTACTAAAATCTAATAGTTATTAGTAAAATAATATCACTATTTTTCAGATTTGCTATCGTGATGGCAAACTATGTCTATTATTTCGAGTTTGTGACCCACGTAGACAGCAAATTATTGAATCGAAAATACGCGTCTATCTTATCAGAGATCAAACGTAAGAGCAGCAAATCTCTTTATATATAGTTTTGATATAAAATATAAGTATACCTTTTTTGCAGCACACGTGAAGGTGAGTACATACAAACACGCACCGAGCTCAAATTAGATGGCCATGGTGAGCAAATAATTGTTTGGCCAGAAATTGTTTGCCATGTCATTGATGAGACGAGTCCTTTGAACTTTTTGAAGTCGGCTAAAGACCTGAATGAAGCACAATTTGAATTGTATGTCTCAATTGTTGGCACTTCAGCGGCAACAGCAATGGTAACGGAGGCACGCACTTCTTATGTGCCATGTGAGGATATTTTCTGGGGACAACGTTTCGTTAATATTATTACGTATGATGCACGTAATGAACGTTACGTAGTAGATTATAGTAATTTCAATTCTACTATATCGGTAAGTAGTTGTAGTTGTGTGCAAAGTGTAAAAAAATGTAAAATTTAATTCGCTTGCCTTGCAGGTTGATATGAAATCCATTGAGTATACAGAGCCTGTTGTGGAGAAAGACGAGTAATTTTAAAATTTTCTAAAGCATATGCTTAATCATGTGCTTAATATTATTTTACTATCATCAAAGGTGAATAGAATTTCGTATGTAAAAGTTGGGTTACGGCACAGTGAAAAAATATTATAAACTCATATGTATGTATGCATTTTTCGAAAATAAATTTATTAAACAGGTAAACTTAATAATTTGCAATAAATAAAGTATAACACAATTATTCTTTATTTCTTATTCAGTACAAGTTTTTTGTGTATTTTATAATTTTAATTTGGCAGCATAAAGTCTTTTTCTTCGCAATTATTGAATTACTTTATTTAAATATTAAAAATATCTACTCAGTGCTGTTTTTTTTGTTTACAATTATAACTAGTAATTTTTGCGTACAAGTCTTGTACACGCTAATTAACTTTAATTAAATAAATATCCAACTATACAATCGTGTATTTTAATTATTTTTTCGCCATTAGTTGCTGCAATTGTGCTTTTAATAATTCATTCTCATCTTTTAAACGTAAAAATTCGTTGACAAAAGGATCGGTTTGCACTAGATAGCTTAGCGCATCGCGTATATCTTCGGTAGTGTTCATTTGACGGGCCCAAATGTCTGCGTTTTGGGTAAAAATTTGCCATTTATTTTGTTCGGCATTTAGTTTTATTTCTGACTCTAAATTTTGGAAACGTGCATTCATTTCCTGGCGCAAATCGGAAATTTGTTGTAAAATTTCGGTTTGTTGCGGCCCAGCATTATTCGTGGTATATTTTTTGGCATCTACCTCTTTTATATCGCTCTTTCGTTCATTAGTTGCTTTAGCTTTATCCAACGGTGTACTATTGTAGGCGTTCAACGGGCTACGAAGTTGGTTGGTTGGGTCGAAATCTATTTCCGCATTTACCGGATTCTCTTTATCACTACCACTGCTTGAAACGCTTTGCTGTGCTGATAAGGCAAGATCCTCTTCCTCGATTTGTTTCAAACTTGTAACCAATTTCGAAATGCTGTTGCGATCGCGTAAGGGCGCTGATAATCCTAAAATTCAAGCAGATTCTTAATATATGGTTACAATAAAATTTTCTAGGAAACTTACCCGTAATGGGTCTTTTACCATCATCAAGGTTTTTTCGGCGTGTATTTATATAATCATAGCTCAAATACAATTTTCCTTCATTAGAGTTATTACTTGAATTGAGACTGATGTCGCCTGGCTTTTCGTTGGTACTACTTTGTTTCGATGTATTCGTGTGGCTATCTTCCGACTTCGGTTTGCGCCCTAGGGTGTCCCAATCGAAGCTGTCACGACGCATTGTAAAACGTGTCGACATGCGATCTAGTTTATTTGCTTGAAAGTCTAAGAAATCACAAAATGAGTCACGCTGGCGTGTTGTGGTGGATGCTCTCTGTGGCTCACTCGACGCTTCGGTCGTACTATCGGCATTATTACCAGCTATTGTGCCAGTGAAACTTGAGGTGGTGCTGCCATCGTCGGTAGGCTGGGGCACAAAAGCCAGCCTTGTAATAGAGCAGTCATGCACTTTTTTCGTGGCTAGACATTTCTTAACATTGCGCATGTCGTAGGTAATAAGCTCACCTTTTAAATTTCCTACACAAAAATAAGTGCCACAACCACTCATTGCGGTCGTGGACAATGGATGCGGATGTTTTAATTTTACTTGTGGTGTTCTACGACGTGTATCGAATACATTAACAACACAATCGTAGCCAACACTTATTAACGTGTCGGGTGTTGCAGCAGACATGCATAAATCACGACAAGGCGAAGCATGTGCATCCTTTAAATTGAAAATCTTGCGTTTGGTTTGTAGATCATAGACTGTAACAGCGCCCTTGAATGACGCTATGGATAATTGGAAGCGTTTGTTAGGATGAAAACGTGCTAAAGTGGAGCTGCAGCAAATATTTTTATAATATGAATTTTACATATACATCTGACATTTTTGCATGTGTTCCTACTTACTTGCTATCTATATTGACGCTGTCCACTTTTGTTTTCGTCTTGGTGCCGTAAACATTGATTTGACCAGATTCAAAAACAGAGGCAATATACTCATCGGTTCCATTGTAATCCAAATACAAAACACTGTTACGATTGTTTTCTGTAAACATATTTCAGTAACTATGAAATCTATAAGAAATCTTTTGCAAACACTAACCAGCTTTGAAACGATGTATTAGCTCTGTGTTTTTGTAATTGTATATGCTAACTTGCCCGTTGACACCTCCAAATGCCATTTCCTCTAGCGACTGCTTCGCGCAAGCAACACAGTACACATTGCCGACGTTTAATTTGCGCACGCGCTGAATATCCCAATCTTTGAATTCAAAACATTTACTATTTTAATATGCTAATACTATTAAATATATTCAGCTTACTCTGCTCGCCCTTATCCTTTATACGCATAACTTCCAGACCTGATTTTTTGTTTACCTCTAGGAAGATACGCTGCCGTGCATAGAACTGGAAGTCAGTTGTTTCACCATTTGCGTGCTGATAAATGGATTTTGTTTCAAGATTAACGAAATCTGAAAGCACAGTCGTTTTTCCCGTCGATATCAAATACATTTTTGTTAATTATTTATTTAAGCTAAAATAAATTGGTTATGCTAAACCCCACTAGAAAAATACCAATTAGAATTCAATTTTAAAAACTAATGTCAAACTGAATAACATTTGTTTCCAGCGACAGCTGGCGGCAAATCCAATACGCAGCGCGCATCGGTGCCACTCAAACGAAAAATAAAGTCAATATAACTCAAAATAATGAACAAATCTGCAAGCACATAAAGTTATAGAAAAAACATCAACTTCAATTGCTGCAATCGATAGGAGAAACATTTTTGGGAAGTTGTCGTCTAATTAATTTAATGAAATCGCTCTAGCCATGTAATTTTTCCAACTCAATACAATACAGTTCAATATATCGCATTAATAATCGCCATGCACCTGCTTCAACTACCAATGGAGGCGTTAAAATAAACCAATCAGCTCAGCTGTTTCACGACAGGTTATTGTTTATGTTTTGGCAATACTGGTTGTCATAAGATTTTCGTCGTGGAAGCAAAAAATGTCAGAAAGTAGAGGAAGTGAAAATTTACGACGAAAAATATTTTTCCTCCATTGCATAGAGAATATCGATAAATAAAATAGTAAAATTGTAATTTCTTGCAAAGTATTTCTCAAAATTATAATCAATTTACATTTCAAAAAGTTTTGCTGCATAAAATAACAATAGTAAATAGTAAAAATAACTTGTATCTATGAAGTGACACAAAAACAGCATTAAAACGAAAGGAACTGTAATAACAGCAACAAAGAAAAGGGAGCTAAGCAAAACGTAGCGAAGCGCCACTTCACCAATTGCGAATATAACTAAATACAGTCACAAATGAAATATATATAAATTTCTGTGAAAAAAAAAATATTAAGTAAATAGCGAAATCATTAATATTAAAGCACAGAAAAATTTAGTTTGTGTGTGTGCAATTTAACTCATATTGAAAATATAAAATGAATCGAAGTGATGGTTTGGTGAGACGAGCCGTCAAAACCCGGGACAATGGAGCTGAAGGTGGTGCCTCTGGTCTAAACGCTAACACATCGGATGACGATAATTCATTGAATAATAGTAATAGAGATCAAGAGGACAATATCGATGATGGTGATTCAAAACAGACACGTCTAACACTCATGGAAGAAGTACTGCTTTTGGGCCTAAAAGACAAAGAGGTGGGTACCAATAAATTGTTGTGCTTTGTTCTGGCCTTCCTTAACCTTATTAACTTTATTGTAATAATAGTCTTATCAACTTACTCATTATTGATTAGGTATATTGCGCTTCCAAATTGCTTTTGTAATAATGTTTAACATTCATGCTAAAATCACGTTCTTTGCTTAAATTTTACTTTATTTTATTTTATCTACTTTTAACTTTCCAAATTGTGATGGCAATGACGAACTTCTGCAGGTTTCTTTCATATTTGATGCGGTGGCGGAACATTTTTTCTCGAGTTTGTGTGTGTTTGCAAACCATTCTCAATGTGCTAACATTCAACGTAGGCATAAGTATATCTATTATGTCTAATAGGTTACTTTGGGTTTTTTATGCTTATATCAATGTTTATTGTACTTTTTATCACGCTTTATTACTTTTATTTCCACACATTTTCATGTGCTGAAGTTTACTGTGACGGAGAGGTATTTAATTATTTTACTTCTCAGCTCGATATGACAGGCTCAAAGGGTTGAATAATTAATTTTATGCATAATAATTTTTATAAAATTTATTTATTATTCATAAAAATAATGTGAAATATGTGCAAAAACAAAATGCACGCTAGGCATTGCTTGTGTGCAATAGATAGACGGCTATCTAGGTTGTTGGGTTCTAATGAGTTATCCCAATTAGAGGGTTTCTAACTTTATGTCAACTCATGTATGTATGGATGTAAGTATGTATGTACAAATTTAACTAGATCAACTTATAATCAGTGACAATGTATTTACATACATATATAAATTTTAATACTGCAAATTATATTAAAGATTAAAATATTTTTAAGAGTGTTTGCAAAAAGTGATCTCTGAAAATAGTTATTGCTTTATCAGAAAAAACCATTTTACCCAGCAAAAGTTGAATAGCATAACTTCTAAATAATTTTTGAAAAAAATACAATTTATTATTGTTATTTTTGATTTATTTATAATTCGAAAAACTACTAATAGACATCGTTTTTTTGTGCACACTGATTTGTCCGTCACCATAAAAAAACTTTTATTTAATTTATTCTTTAGATAAATTTCTTGTTTTTTTGTAGTTTTTTTTCTTCTTTAAATTCATTTCTTGACAGTTGACTGCATACCTTCATATGTATGTAGGTATATGCATTTCATTTAGTCTAAGTACCTAATTATATACATACATATGTACAGTTTGTGTTTGTCTGTAGTTAAAAGTTCTTATCAATATATTTTAACTTCCGCTGTAGCCAGCTTTCATCTTATAGTTCTTTCTAGCTTCCGAAGTAATTGCTTTTCCATATATATACATATATGCGCACATACAAATGTATACGTGGTGTATCAGCGTTTAACTAAATGTGGTTTTTCTGTTCCAATTGGAATTCCGCTACAATTACGAACACAAGAAGTTAAATGAAAAATATTCACTTAAGTGCTTTAACCGATTTTTAAAAGTATTTACTATTTATTTTTTTTATTCTCTTCAATTTTAAGGGTTACACATCCTTCTGGAATGATTGCATATCGAGTGGCCTACGTGGCTGCATACTTATTGAGCTTGGTTTGCGTGGACGTGTCATGATGGAGAAGACGGGTATGCGTCGACGCGGCCTGTGTTCCAGGTGAAATTTACCTAATCTTTTAATTGTTCTTGACAATAATTCATTCTCTTGCTTTGTTGTTGCTTTTAGAAAGCTCGTTTTAAAATCGGATCAGCCGACCGGCGATGTACTGCTCGACGAGGCGCTCAAACATATTAAAGAAACAGATCCACCAGAGACCGTACAAAGTTGGATTGAATATTTGAGTGGTAATTAAATGAAAAAAAATATCTATTTTTTTTTTTAATTTTGATTCTTACTTTTCTATGCCCAACATAGGCGAAACTTGGAATCCGCTAAAATTAAGATATCAATTGAAAAATGTACGCGAACGTTTGGCTAAGAATTTGGTGGAGAAAGGTGTGCTGACGACAGAAAAACAAAATTTTCTACTTTTCGATATGACAACACATCCGCTAAGCGATAATGTGGTGAAATGTCGTTTAGTGAAAAAGGTGAGTTCACACTTCTTTTCGTTTTAAGTAATTTACTTTAACCTTAAGTAAACTATTTAGATACAAGATGCCGTACTTTCCAAATGGATAAACGATCCACAACGCATGGATCGACGTATATTGGCCTTAATATGTTTGGCGCATGCTAGTGATGTAATTGAGAATGCATTTGCGCCGTTAAATGATGACGATTACGAATTGGCTATGAAACGTGTACGGGAATTATTGGATTTGGATTTTGAAGCGGAAGCGGCCAAACCAAATGCTAATGAAATTCTTTGGGCAGTATTTATGGCTTTCAGTAAATAAGATCCTCTTTATAATTATATGTTGTAATTACTATTATTATTATTAAAATGGGATTGTATGATAAGCCAAAACTGCGCTAATCTGCCAATGCCACCTTTATACGTACATTTAAAAAAAAAAGAAATGCATACATACACAATATAGTATACATATGTACACATAATAAAAGTCTAAAAAAAACAGTAAGGCAAAAAAAGGTTTTTTTTTCCTAACGTACATTCACTTGAAACGAAACTAACTATCATATATAATTAATATACACAAATATATGATGTGTTCCACGTTTTTCTTTTGTTTTTCGGGTGCAAAACTGTACTTTTCCATTATTTACAATTGTTGTGAAAAAAAACATTAAAATATAAATAAACATTAAATATAGACAATGAAAATACACTTATAATATCAGAAAAAAAAGAAGAAAAAACATAAATTTCTAAACAATACATATGTAAGAGAAAATTAAAGGTAACAAGAAAAAATGGTATTTAAAATTGGGAAATTGTACACAATAAAACTAAAAAAAATTATATATATATACTTGATCGAGAAAATCATAATGCTAGCAAAAAAAAAACAAAAAACAAAAAAGTTAGATAACAAGACAGCATAAGAAAAATTTACCATTAACCTTTTGTATAGTTAATATTATATAACTTAGAATTGACTTGAAAATATGACAAAAGGTACGTACGTACATATGTATATGCGTTTTAGCTAAAGCAAGCACTTAACTATACAAATTTAAACTGCAGAGTTTCTAGTGCAATAACAACTCGGCAAACAATTTTTTGTATAAAAAGAAAGAAAAAAAAAGTAAAATTACGAAAGTAAATTAGAAAGCAAACATGTTAAAAGTGGTTTTCATAATGGAAAGATATGTAAATCTAAATGTCCATTGATTTTACTCTTGATGTCTCAGTGTAAGCCACAAAAATGTTATGGAAAATTATTACAAAGGTTACAATAGCCAATGGAAACTGTTAAAGGGGAAAGTAACCAACGAACGAAAAACGGAAAAACGAAAATAATGTATAGTTGATATTTACTAAAATGTATGCCTAATTAATGCTGTTCAGTTATTTTTTTTCACTATCACATTTTTTTTTCTCTTTAAATAATTCATGCTTTAGTTGTGTTATTAAAATTGTTATTATAATTATTATTTTTTTATTGTCAACAACTGCTTCCCGCCGTTTTCAAATTGGCTATTGAATAGTTTTAAAATTTGTCTTTAAAAGTATACACAAAAAGTTGTTCCATTTTTCAAACTACATACACGTGTGTATGTATGTATGTAGTTACGTTTAAGTATATACTATATGAACTTTATTATTTTCTAAATAAATATTTTATCTGACAAATACAAAAACATCCAAATGATATTGTGTAATTTTATGCATTTTATGCCCACAAACGCATACATACATACATCTGTATGTATGTACATATTATTAATACAAATGTGCACTGAAGAAAAGTTGCAGCGCTGCAGCCAATAAAAATGTTCGAAAGAATCGGTTAGAAAACATAAACTTGTTTATACATACATATGTACATTTACAGCTAAATACTTTAAGCAAACAACTCTATGTATGTGTGTATGTATGCATGTACATACGCATGCATAAATAACAACAGTAAAATACAGATACGAGTACACAAGCCTCTGACTGCACTCACCAACACATACAATCATAATTGGCACACATCAATGAAGAAAAATACACAAAAAGATATAAATAAATTTAGCAAAAAAAAAACTTTTCATTAATCTTCTTTGGATCTGTATTATCGAAATTACGAAAAGACAAATTTTTAATATAAACAATAAAAAGAAAAAAAAAGAACATTTGTGAGGTAAATAAGTATAAGCACATAGAAAATGGAAAGAAATGAATTTTATTATTGCATTGTGTTTTCTTCTGTAGATCACTAAAATTTAACGGTTATGATTTCGGGGAGAAATAAATTATAATTTATAATATAATATAGCCCAGCCCATATTTTAGAACACAGTCAGATATTATTTGTTAAATAATTCCAGTTATAACATCCGTTAAGGCTTTTTGAGACAATCGGTTTTGTCTCAACGTCCATTGCATTGACATGAATTTATTTACACAAGTGTTTTTTCCCCACAGGTTTGGGAAAAAACAATTAATAATTTTCTTAAAAATTTATAAAGCGAGACGGCACACTTAAAAACTTCTCCGACCACAATGAAATTTAGACACCCTATATTGAAACGATGTTGTTGTTGTAAACGCAAAAATATTACCCAAAGTGCGTTTTGGGGAATGTTGCGGGAGTGACAGTCCTTGGCCGGATAAAAATCCAGGTCGTTCCGGTATAAAGACCAGAATGTCGCGGGAACTTTTGGATTTTAGTCGCCTCTTACGACAGGCATGCCTTACCGCGGATAAATTCTTGAACCCCTAACCCGCAGGAGGACTTTGAAACGATTTCTCTTGTTGTTGGAGCGGCTTCCTCAACACCGCCTAGGAGCAGGTGAAGTTAGGCTATGTCGACGAGCTCATCTAAATATTTGGCTCAGGTAACGAGCTGTTTCGACGAGCTCGGGCGAGGGGGGAAAAGGATGTACGCATACAAAGAAATGGTTAATATCGTCTGGGGGCTCGGAGGACTCGGGGTCATGTTTGGATAGCTAGTGGTTTATATATACATATATATAATTGGTGCTTTGTAACCACTTAAGCGTTTTCTGGCCGAGCTCCTTCTCCAAATTGTGGTTTTGCGTCTTGATGCTTTTCCAACAAATCGAGGGACTGACAGTTTGTACTAAGCCGCCTCAGAAAGGCTGATGGATTTTTTATGAAGAGCTTCATTTCGTGTCAGAAACACACTCGGAAGGGTTGACTTTCCCTGCTGAGGGGCGACCGCAGTTATAAAATTGTACTTCATTTTTGATTTAAATTAATTTACTTCAACTTTTTGGATAGTAGTTCAGTCTACTATAATGTCCAGACTTTAATTGTGCCAGTGTATACTCGGTTTCGTGAGACAGCTCGAGATCTTCGTCTGTTATGGGTGGTAATTGGGTTCCGAACTTGCCATTCATGGGAAGAGAGCTTATAAAGATGTTGGCGGCCTTTCTTTGAAAGGCGTTTAGAGCTTGTCGACAGTGCGTTGTTGTTGTTGTAGCCGCAAAAGTATTCCCCCCGAATTGTTCTAATGGAATATTGCGTGTATCTAAGTTTTGGAGGGTACGCGGTGGGGGGTGATATGTAAATGGGAAGAAAAGATTGGATGGAGCTTGCGGGAAGCTCCGGGTTAAGAATCGGTAGTTTTGCGGGGTGTTGTCCTCCTGTTATTATTATTTTGAGTAAGTGATAGGAGAGATAAAAACCCGGGTGGTTTCGGTATAAAGACCCGACTGTCGCTGGAACTTTTGGATTTCAGTTGCATCCTACGAGAGGCATGCCTTTCCGTGGAATAACCCTTCCACTCTTGGGAATTTTTTTTGAGCGCCGTGGCCCTTTAAATATGGTGGAGCGAGGGAGTTCTTCTGGTGGTTTCACAAGCTAAGCTTAAATCACTCAGTAACTTGCGTTCCGTTCCTGGTGTTGGGAAACATCCATGCATACAAAGTTTTGAATTTGTTTCTACCACCTCGAGTTTCGCTGTCTACATGAGAATTGTACTTAGGTATTAGGCAAGCACGAATATACTTACATTAATTGGTACGAAGGATATTGAGCATAGAGTACTGCTCGCTTAAACAGCTGTAGTGACAATCTTTTGCCTTTGTGGTGTAAAATACTAACTGTCGCAGAAACTGTTGTGGTGTAATTGACTCTTAAAGCAGGCATGACTTGACGCGGGCAATATACTGAATCCCGTACTCGTAGGGGTATCGGTATCCCGTCTGGTCCAACCGTTCATATACATATGTATATACCGCAAAATGGAGTCCGCTGAGTTATGCTTCTATTAGATGTCTGCAAAAGTGGTCCCTACGGTAGCTTTTCAATATTCTGGCCGGACGCCAAATACCGTTCAGCCATTGGCATAACCCTGAGACAGGACTTCATATTGCGAAATTTGACCGATGGGTGCCGACCATTGTCTACCATTTCAATGCCCGCGGTAACAAGGATCAACCAATGTCCGGTACTCACATTGCGTGATTGGCCGTGTCTAAAACTTGTAGCAGATCCAATGTGACAAACACTGTTCGTGCGCAGGATCGATTTTGTTTAAAATAAGGAGTAAATCACGGCTGTGGTCTGCGCACTTTCCAGAAAACCTTCTGATATGCTGATGGACTCAAGTGGTAAGTGAAAGGCGATAACAGCAAAGTCTTAGTGGGATGTGTAATAGCGGAACCGCTCTACACTGTTTCCAGATGTTACAACAACACCACAGTTAATCAGGTATAAAGTATCGTCTGTTGTTGTACCCCGGAGAGGGGGGTAAAGTTATAAAAGAATCTCCTCATAGACTTTTTTCCCTTCCTGACCTAAAAGTTTGACGCAAATTTCATATTTTCAGTCTTGTCATGAACATTTGCTTTCATGTCCTGTCGGAAGGGTCTTCGAAGTTACTGATGATTTCTTATACTCCACAACTAATTCCTGCACAATCAGACTATTTCGGAGCTGAGATGTTCCCTAGGTCTTCTTCTACTAACAACTTGCTTAGTCGTTAACCTTTTCCTCGTTGTCATTATCGTCCCAAAACTAGTACAGCTCATCGTCTTATTAAGGTAAGTGTTAATGCATGAGCAGGACTTAACTACATTGCAACAATTGTACTGGTTGCATCTAGCAGAAATGAGAGAATGTTGGAGTCGTTTATGGCACACGAAGCAAAAGTAATCCCACGAACAAGAGTTGGGTTCTAAGCCAGCCCTAATGAGAAATTTTGGAGCAAACCAGCTGCGAGGTGTTGCTTGGCAAAGGCAATTACTTCACTGCAGGACCACTACAGCTGCAATCTGTGAAATCTAGTTACCGAAAGGAGGCGCACGAGCAAGGGCTGCATTCAGCACCACGTACAAGAACCGCTGGACATGACGGTACAATTAAGATGTAGGTTTTAACGTAGACTATATTTCTTCGATGTATCCAAGATTTGTTTGCCTGCACGAATCTTCAACTCTTTGCTTGTCACTTAAAATCTAATCATCTAACCTCCCGCCAGTGATGGCTGTCGAAACAGCTCATTTCTTGGTCAACCCGTTAGATGATCTTGATGATTTAGACTAATCTCGCCTGCTAATAAGCTGGGTGCTCTCATCCTTCATCCAAAAGAGCCATGTGGTCTCACACCAGCCAGAGATTTATTGAGCATCACACTTCCAGTTTTCTGTCTTTTAGCTGACGAATAGTACCGCCTACGCACATTCAATGGATTTCTGATACTCCTCATTGGCTGGCGACTTCAAATACACCTTTCTATACAGATACATTTCTCCATATACTTTGCTTTTGTTGGATCATCGATTACAAGGGTTTGCTGTTCTCTGACAGAAGTGCTAGTAGTTAAGTATTTTTTATTTATTTTTTATTTTTTAAATGAAGTAAAAATATGAATGAGCTAATCGACATATCATGAACATAACCCCACTTTCGCTACCAAATCTAAAGAAAACTTTCTCCCGAGAATAAAAAAAATATTTTTTGATTTTGGAGTATTACATTGTTTATCGCCAAATATTAAAATGTATTTTATTTAAATTTAAACAAATATCATAAATTTTTTTATTTTTTTTGAATTTTATTTTTGAAGTTTTGAAATATGTGTGTTATACATAATTGGCGCTTTGTAATCGCTAACGCGATTTTCGGTTTTGAAACGGAGTTGATTAATATCAACCTCCGAGATAGTGGTCTGAACTGTTCGATTTCGAATTGTGGTATTGTTATTTTTTATTTTTTTTTACTAAAACCTAGATAACTTTTTGAAGTGATGTATTTAATTTTGCCTTTACAGATGGCTTACTTTCTGACCAGTTTAAGCTGAATTTCAATCATTCGTACTTACTCCAATTAGCATAGCATAACAGTGCGTGAATAATATGTATGTATAACCAATTTGGAAAATATTTAAAATTTAATTTCATTAATAATTGTCATTATACCATAATTTCATACCATTACTTACACACGATACATTTATTTATTCATTTATTTATAACTACATACTTTATTGAATGTTTCCGGAATACATATGTATATTTTGCAAATATGATAATAATCCTTCTCTTTCTTTACATTTTTAAAATAATTATAATAGATAGATATTGTAAAAATCTGCACAACATATATGTATGTATGTATGAATGGACCTAAGTTACACAAAATAATCATAAGAATAGTAATAATAATAATAATAATAGACCACAAGCAAATGATTGGACAAGGCAAAATTGGTTATTAAATGATTATGCAAATTTCAAATCAGCAATTGTTATTTAAGCAAGCAAATTGACACAATTACACTACAGTGTGGTTAGTATTTATTTCTTTATATTTTTGTATTTATAGTAATGCATGTATGTAGTATATGGGGGAAATTGCAATAAATGTATGGAACCGTCTATTGTATGCGTATGCGTTCAAGTATTATATATTTGTATATTTGTATGTATGTATGTATGTATGCATGTGTAAATCAGCATAATAATCTACCATCTTCTACGCGAGAGCCTATGCAAACGTGCCCGATTCTGTGAATAACTACGGCACATTAGCGGGCTACTTGCAGTTGCTGTTGTTGTTGCGGTTTTTGTTGTAGTTATTGTACCGTCTCTATACCCACTATGCGACATCTTACAGCTGCTACATTTTTGATAACCTACAAGCTAACTTAATAAATCTTTAATCTCCTTATGCATATGACATAAGAAGTCCACATAGCTGGGCGAGCCATCTGTACCGCGATCTTCGATGAGGAAATGTCGGAAAACAGTTTCCAATTTGTCGTTTTGCCTTACGCAATTCACCTGTTTAATAGTAAACAAAAAAAAAAAAAAAGTCAGAATTTTTTAAGTTACTCTTAAAATGTTTCAAATGACTGCTCTCACCCTCATATTCCTAGTACGCTCCATCATGATTGTATCGATAATGTTTCGTATACGCTCAGCTAATGGCGTTTCGCCAATAATCGCAAATCGTTCCGCATTCACCTGTTGTGTGCACTGTACGCCGAAGATTGGTTGTATGAATGTCTGCGGCAACGATTGACCCAACCAAACAAAGAGATGTACACCATTCTCCAGTATGTAAGCGCCATCTTCGCTCATCTTCTCGTGCGTACAACGTATGGACATGGGTAATTCGTTGTCATCAACATCTACATTATGAATTGGAATGAAACGTGGATAGAAGAAGCTAACGGACATATTCAAATCCATAGCCTGTACAAATTGCATGACATAAGAGCGATCGTCGAGTGTCATATCGGCACCACCAGATATAGCGTCGTTCTTCAACAAACATGATATATAGAGCGGCAATAGTTTCAGACATTCGGGCAGTATAAGTTGGCCAGCTGATGTGGGCGAAGTACAATGTTTACGATAGCATGCCAATATCTGTGCCGAACGATTAATCAGATTGTCCTTGACTTGTTTCGGTGTGAGCTCAAGCAATTTGGTGCAGGCCTGTTTAGCAAAGAATAACATCATGGCATCCAAATCGCAACTCTTAAAGATATCCGCTACAGTGGTGGTGGCGCGTAATGCCAAATTCAAAACACGCAAGCGCCGTTGGCCACTAACCGATGTGTAGAGCAGTGCGATTTGCAGATAAATATTCTCCTCAGGCGGCAATTTGTCGTCGTGTTTAATTTCGATGGCGACCGCCTTGTCGCAATCTATTATTTTAAGGGGAATAATTGGAAAAAAAAGTAAAGAAACTGCAAAATTTTCAAAAGACACTTACCTATACTTGCCAGCTCAACATCGGTTGTGTTTGTCATGAAGAAATGTCCGTAGAAATCAGTTGGGCGTATGCCTGCCGAAGTGCGCACACGCATAACGGCATCGAATGCAATTGGGCGTGATACATTCTTAATTATATCCTCAATCAAACGTTTGCCATCCAGGTCAGCCTTTAAGAAATACACACATTTGCAAATGAATAATATTAAATTGAAAAATTTCATAAATAACTCACTTGGAAGTATGTGTATTTGTAGACCTCACCGCCACTCATACGTGATACCTGTCCCAGTGTTGCGATATCGATGTATGAATTATTGAATAAGAACAAATCAACAGACACACCATTCTGTACACATTCCTGGCCCAATTGATTGTATGAAACACATTGTGGCGTGAGTACAGTTTTCTCCTTATCAGTACCGAGTAATTTACGATCATCACGATTCTTCAATTTGCCTCGTCCCTCAGCGATTGGAAGCGTTGAATTGAAAACCAATAATTTACCGGCACAATTTGAAGCTTTCAATGCTTCCAAGCCCGCTTGTATGGCTGGATAGAGCACAGTTTCTGTTTCCTTCGTGTCGACAAACATTTTCGGAATTTGTTCCATTAAGGCGTCAATCAGCGCTTCAGACTCTTCGGGATGGCAGAGAAAACCGTCGAGTAGTGGCATAAACATGTCCTGTGTGTAAGAAATTATTTTAACATTTTTAATAACATTATTTTTATTGCAAATCTAAAGCAACTCACCTGCACATCGCCGACCACCATCATTTGTGGCTGTGCCAAACTACTTTTAATGTTATAAAAATGTACTGTACTGTTGTAGGTAATGAAACCTACACGCATTTTTGATTTATCCTGACCCTGGTCAACGGGCAAGTTCTTGAGGACCTCTTTGATCTGCGAGCAGAGAAGATGCACTAAGCCCGATTTGATGGTATTGTAAGAGACATCGATGACAAAAACAAATGCTGGTATTTCAGGTGGCATATTGTTCTGTTAAATGAAGGAAAAGATTTTAAAGGGCATAAATGAGAAAAATAAAAATCATTTGCTTACACGACAATAGTCCTTGGTGGCCAAAAATTCATATGTGCCCAAAACCAGTTCGGGACGCTCATACTTATCGACACGTTGACCAGTGTGATCCAAATGTTGGAAATATTCAGTTGGCACTGCGAGTGTAGGAATTATGTATAAACAACTCGTGGTTAGTTTTTAAATAAAAAACTCACCCTCTGTGGTCACTTTGCACATAAGACATTGGAAGCGGCGACCAGCATCGACAAATTGCATGTTCGGCGACATATATGCCTTGCAGCGATTGCATCGAATGGGACCCAATTCACCAAAGTTGACAATGGGTGGCTCATATTCACCCTCAACGGTGCGGGCCATGGGTGAGACAATCAAGGTAAATGGCAAAGCTGTTGACTTCATTAAATCAGCAGTTGCAGGTATGCAATATAAAGAGGATCTGCGTGTGAGAGGAATTATTCAGTTTGTGGGCCAATGAACACTAGCGGACGAAATATAAACTCACCTGACATAACGTGGCGATGAATTGCCCTGATCCTGGACTACATATTTAGTGGTTACCAGTGGCGGTAGTAGACCTGCTTGATTGGTGACAAAGGCACCACCGGCATTACGTTGATTTTCAATAATAACACTTATGGGATTTGGCATCTGATCGGGATCGAGACGGCGTTGAGCTTGTGGATACTGTTGTGGCTGTTGATACATGCCGCCTGGTGCTGGTGCTGGTGGTTGCTAGAAACATAAATACATCACAATTAGTGATCAATGAATAGAAGAGAAATAATGCATCATGATTAGCATACATTGAAGCCTGGGCGGCCGGGCATTGGCGGTTGGCCGGGTTGCTGTGGGGGCATCATTTGTCCAGGGTAGCCTGGCTGCTGCGGAGGATAACCAGGTTGTGGTGGATAACCAGGCTGCTGTTGCTGCGCAGGAAAGCCAGGTTGTTGTGGAGGATAACCGGGTTGATGCTGTGGCTGTGGTGGATAACCAGGTTGCTGTTGCGACTGTGGTGGATATCCTTGCTGTTGCTGTTGTGGTTGTGGTGGATAACCTGGCATTGGTGGCATGCCGGGTTGAGCAGGCATTGTTGGTGCTCCCGGAGTTGGAGGCAAACCTGGATGACCAGATAACATTGCTGGTTGTTGTTGTTGTTGTTGCGGCTGTTGTGATTGTGGTGGTCCAAGTGGCTGCGACATGGGTTGGGGTGGAATTTGACCAGGTCGTGGTGGTCCTATCAGCTGTGAGCCTGGTTGCTGGTATTGTGGCATTCCGCCTGCAGTTGATGTGGCGGGTGTAGCGGAAACGGGAGGTTGCCCTGGCATATTAATCTAAAATTACACAAACAGTTTTATCACAATATCAAAACTTAAACTGAGTATAACATACCGTTTTTGGCGGCATATGCGGCAATCCGGGTATGTTTGCGCTGTTCACCGTCATCTGATTATGTCCACCGGCCACCGATTGCATAGGCGGTGTCGCCGAATTTGGTGCTGGTGGATACATGGAAGCGGGCACTTGCGGCTGTTGGGGCTGTGGTGGCTTAGCTGTCTGCCCGTTTGAATATGGCGGTCCCGGCATGAAGTTGTTGTTAGCATTTGAAAGTTGTTGTTGCGATTGCACATGTGTTGGCGGCCCATTTGACAATGGGGGAGCGTCTAGTCCTCCGACGGTTGGCGGTGGTGCGCCCGGCATATTTGCGTTTGTATATGGAGCATTACTTTGAGGAGGAACACCTGCAGGCTGCTTCAACGCATTCACAGAGAGACCACTCATTGAATTTGTTAACTGCCGTAAAAAAAAACATAGATTTTACAATGTTCAAATAAAGCGCTTAATAGAATTGCTACAAAGTTTTGTTGCGTTATCACTTTTAATTTCGTTGACCCGAAAATGAGCGACGTCGGTTTTCTTATCATTTAAAACCGACTTAAAAGCTCTTTTTAACGCTATGCTTAGACAATGAAAACAACATTTACACAAACCTGTTGTTGGTAGTTGCCATTAAGTAATCCCGGCTGTTGTCCTTGTCCATAATTTTGTTGTGGTGGTAGTGCGCCCAATGATCCTGTATTTGTTGGTACTGTTGACGTTGGTGGCACATTGCTGGGTGGAAAAGCGCCGACACCGGGTGCTCCCATTTGTGGTGGTGGTCCAGCACTTGGTTGCGTTGGTTGTTGTGGTGCCGGCGGCCAGCCTGGAGCATGTTGTTGTTGTTGTGGCGGCGCACCGTACATGTTTGGATTCATGTTTTATTTACTTATCTTTTTTGTTACTTTTTATAACAATTAATTATTTACTTTACTGAGCCAAGTGTTGGAAGTAAATGTAAGGTGAAGAGTGGGTCAGTGAAAAAAAAACTTGAACTTTCTCACCGAATGCACTGCACTTTGTTGGCAAATACGAGTGGATTTGGCAGCTTATAATACCACCAGAAATTAGTTATTATTATTAAAAAAATAATGTACAATGAAAGTGTACTTTTCAACACACACACCCACTATTTATTTAAACAATTTTTAATAATAAAACTGTTTAAATTTCTTTCACAAACGAGAAAGAAATTGTGAAAAAATGTCACTTCCACGTCAGAGCAGTTCCAATTTGCTTTACATACGAATTTTGACGTTTGCCACGTAAACAGTGCTGCCACTCCGCTGAATATATGTGGATAGTTGTTAAGTTGTTAAGTTCAAAGGGTTTGAGTTAAAAATTGTTGCAAAACAATTCATTCAGCGCTTAGAGAAAAAACTAATAAATTTCTGCATTAACGTTTTCATAATAAAATTATTGTTTTAAATGTAACAAATAAAAATTTAATTATTACAGAAATTTCTTTAGGATGGCAGCACCAAAAAAAAATTAAATTCAAAGGGTGTGTTCAGTGTAAATCATAGTTAGATTTATGCTAATCGGAAATTATTTCATAAATGTAATTAACGGTATTCTGTTATATAAGTTATTGTAAAAGGAGTTATAAACATGTAACTACGTTCTTATTTTGACAAATTATTCCAATTGTTAACTTTATTCTATCAGATGATACATCACTGAACGCGGTACAATTCACTGGATTATCTTCAGTTTCCTTTTCCTTTCTAACATTTCCGCTATTTTTTGACAGTTGGTGCTTTCTATTTGACGGATGTGCGAGTATTTCTGTAGTTTGAAATAAATTTTGCAAAATCTATTGATAAAATTAAGTGGGAATTTAAATTCAGTGAATACATTAAGCAACAAACAAGTTAAAAAAGTGTGTGATATCAGTAAAGTCGCTTAGTGTTTGGCCTATGATTAATTTGCGGTTAAGAATTGCTTTGGCGTTTTAAAATTATATTTTTTTCTGTAAAAAAAAACTGATTATCTTAAATATATATATGCAATTTTTTATTTAAAACCCTTTTCAATACTTTTTTTTTTGATCCAACTATTATTCACTGGAAATTGTTGTATATCTCTGGTGTCGTGCTATAATTAGTACCAAAAAAGAAACTTCGCCGAATGCCATTGAAAAATTGTAATCCCGCAATATGCTCAATTTCTCTAATATCGGCGAGAAAATTTCGAATGTTGATGTTTTTGCCAATCGGTGCATTTGGCATTATATAAGCCTCCATATACGGATGCCCGCCTGACATTTTCGATTCCACAAGAATCACTTTGAAAAAATGCGTTGGTACAGCGACGGTATTCTCTCCAATTACTTCATATTCCACACACCACTTCTCATCAGTGGGCCTAGTGTGCTCTGAATAAGTAGCAATACCAACCAGTTGACGTTTTGGCTTATAAAGTGGTCCAGTACACACATAAACAGAGCCATAACTTTCAGTTAATTCACGTACATAAATCTCCAACTGATTCCATGCATCATGATTGAAGCCCTTACCAACTTGTGGTGCTATATTTGTTAAATAGAATGTCTCATTACAATGCGTCTGATGGCATTTGTGATTGCCCGCTGCTGCTAGATGGCCACGATCGAAGCCAGAATTCTTATAATCAGTCAAATTAGCGCGAAAATTGGACGGTACACTCATATCAGGTTGATACCAACATTCTTTGCGATTGATATTTGTGCCATCCGCTTTAACGCAAGGTGCGCGTAAATGTTCGTAAACCCAGTGCGCAACACGATTACGTCGGTCATAGGAAAGTACAAAATCCGAATAGACACGTATATCATCCAAACCGGGAAAACCATATTTCATGATCTCCGACATGCGTGAGCAAGAGTCTGGCATTCGATGCAAGCAGTTCGGATTAAAAAGCTGTAGCTGAAAAATGAACGTTTGTGTGTTCTTTAAAAACTCTATAGTAGTAGTATAATAATCACCAACCGTTGCGTATAATTTTTCGCGTATATAAAAAGCGTATGGATCCTCTTGTATGAGTTCATGGAGATTTCGCAGAAAATCACAGTGCTCATAGAAAGCGCCCAACACGAAACAGCTGCTACCGGTGAGTATAAGAAGTCCTAAACCAACACCAAGGAAAGGCATTTCGTGAATTTCCTTTTAATTTTAATAAAGGCTATTGTAGACATATGAATATATGTAGTTATGTATTTATTTTATAACATTTTCCAAAAGCACGGAATTAAAAATTTTGTGAGTTTTAAATTTTTATCTCGATTTAAAGTTTGTCACGTTAAAAAAAAATAAACAAATTTGAAATGAATCCGAAAGTGATGTAAAAGTGGAAGTGACAATTAAAAGAAAAAAACAAAAAAAAAAAAATTATATAAAAAATATTTAAAATCTAGTGAACACTTTCTACACGAATTTGAAATATTAAAATGTCTTGTATTTAACCGTGTTTTTTTTCGTAATAAAAACATTATAGAGAAACGCCTTCTGCAGGAAATGTAAGAAACTTTCACAAAGTGAATATGCCCTGCAGGCGTAAAGTAAAAGGCGGTCATAACAGCATGAAAGGATGTGAACGTTGAATTCGCAAAGAAGATTTATTTGCGGAGTTTTTCCATTTACGTTAAACGCCTGGCTTACATAAAAAGTAGATTTTCTAAACCAGAAAGCGTATAAAAGTGCAAAAACAAAAAGTGTTTCAGTGCGGTTGACCAGCTCCAAAAGGGAATTAAAAAAAAAAAACGAAAGTGGAAATATGAAATAAAATTAAAGTTATGATCTATGGCAGCGAAAGTGATGCGTGGAAAAAAAGTTCGCATGAAAAATTAAAATATAAGGTTGTCAAATATCTCCCCTCCGCTTTTTTGCTCTTCATTTAATGCTTTATAAAAAGTGTTACAGTGATCGGATTTAGTTAAAATATGCGCCGTTTTGTTCGATGATCTGTTTCCATCTAGACGGCAACTTCATAATACCTTCCTCGTAGAAGCCCTCTCCTTTTTGGCGAAGAATTCGGACAGCCACTTTTCACAAGCCTCTTTCGAGTTCAACTTCACACCACCAAGGGCATTCGCCATGGACAGGAACAGGTGGTAACCACTTGGCGCTACGTCCGCGCTACATGGTGGATAAAACCTCCCATCCGAGCTCCCGCAGCTTCTGACGAGTCATCAACGAAATGTGTGGTCTAGCGTTGTTCTGGTGGAACATTACACCCTTCCTGTTGACCGATTCTGGACGCTTCTGGTCGATCGCCTGCTTCAAGCGGTCCAGTTGTTCGCAGTAGATGGTAGAATTAAGCGTCTGGCCATATGGGAGCAGCTCATAGTGGATGATTCCCTTCCAATCCCACCAAACACACAGCAAAACCTTCCTGGCCGTTAATCCCAGCTTGGCCACTGTTTGGGACGATTCCCCGGCCTTCGACCACGACCGTTTTCGCTTGATATTGTCGTATGTGATCCAGTGCGGTTGACCAGTTCCAAAAGAGAATTAAAAAAAAAAAACGAAAGTGGAAACATGAAATAAAATTAAAGTTATGATTTATGGCATGAAAAATTAAAATATAATATTTGAGACGTTCTTACATTTTTTAAAATTTAATTTGCTTAAGTCTACTGTGCATCTTTGTATTACTTTTTACTTTACCTGAGCTCGAGAAACTGGTCGACGGGTAAAGCTCTAAAATGCTCTGACAGCGCGTGGCGATGTTCCGGACGAAACACTTCTTCTTCTACCTGCTAAACTGAAATTGAAAGCAACCGGTAATGGTGAATCGATAATGATGCGGCCGGGGTAACCGAGTGGTTAGCATTGCGAGCTACAGAGCTTAGAGAGCTATGCCCGACCTCAACAACCGAGCCGTTAGTTATCATTTCGCCATGTTGAACCTGAAAGCGAAATGTCTTTGTTGGGTAGTGAACAAAGACAAAACAGGGCATCTACCTTCAACACACATATAGTTGGCGTACTTGTGCCTGGACTTCTGCATTACAGTTGCATTACAGTTGACAGTCAAATTCGTCAAAAGCGTAGGCAATATCGCCTCTCCAGGAAGCCTTATAACTTCTTCTTTGTACTCTACCGGGGGAAAGGGGAGCAGCAATGCATTCAGCCTTCTCAGGTGACAGTACAGTTATAGTAAGTGGTAAATGTTTGTCAAATCTTGCATCTCTAGACTGATTCTGTAGAACTTGATTTGATTTTATTTACAAAGAAATACCAAATACCAGCTTGGATGAAGCCAATGATCTCAAAGTGATTGAAGGAGACATACATATAAAAGAATGTTGGTTTCCACCTGGCATCTTTCGCCTGTCCCATAGCACAGCAACTTCGTTGAGACTCGTTTTGTTGCTTCTGTCTTGCTTGGCTTTAGGGCAGCTTCTCTCAGCTACTCAGTTTCCAGAGTGAGATATGCAGTCTTTCTCAGCCAAATCATTGCAATATCTTCCTGCCCGGAAAATGTTTAATTCCATTTAAACATGGCGATAGAGCTACAGCAAGGGAGCAGGCATACATAGCAGGTGAAGGTGCAGTACGAAGTCGGCTGTGACGGCATTGGGTGCCATATAACCGGGCATCGGAGGATGATGAACTAGTTAAAGACGGATTGCTGTTAACTACCATTGGTTCCAACAAGAAGGCGTCAAATGCCATACAACCAACGAAACAATCAATTTGTAAAAGGAAACTTTTGGGGTACGCAATATCTTGCCTCGTGGTCCTGTGCTGTGCCACTGCTGGACTACTTTTCGTGCGCTTATGTGAATACGCTTGTCTACGCAGATAAGCCCGAGACGAGACGATTCTTCGAAACGTATATTCGGCGTATTATTGCTGACATGCGGTCCGAAGTGCTGCAAGAAGTGGCTCAAAATTGGGAATTTATTCGTGCCAGTCAGTTGTGGCGTACACGGGCTCGAAATAATTTTTAGAACACAATGAGAACCCTTTATCTATATAATAAAACTGATTTTTTGACAATAGCGACACGAAAATATTTTCTTTTATTTATGAAAGTATTTTTCTTTTGATTAGTGTTAAGTCTTCGCATGATTGCATTAAGCCTCTAGTCCTACACATACAATGGACCATGTACGAACTGAACGGATTGTGAAAATGTGCCTCAAAGCCTTGTAAAGGAAGCGTTGGTAAGAACCTCTCTGCGTTGGTAAGGACCTCTCTGCGTCGTTCGATGAAAACTGTAGTTTGCGTAACAAATCCACGCCAAAATCACTTTAATTCATTTTCCATTCAAGCAGCCGGGTATCTAATATTTGATTCCAATACAACTTACCTCTGTATAATGAGCCGTCACTGAATAAATTCGACAAGTCGGAAATCATTAAAATTTCACATATTCCACTTCAAACCTTTGCAATTACAAGTGAGCTCACACTTAAAAGATATTTCGAGGCAAAAAAAAAAAAAAAGTTCCAAATACCGTTAGTGAGTAGAAATACTCAAAGCAACGACAACAAAAAAGGATAGCAGTCACCAACATAAGCGCACTGTAATTCGAACGCTAACTCAAAAGCGCGCCTTTCGACAAAATAAAGCGAAAAAAAAGTGAAATTTTGGAGAACATCCAGGTGATATGTTGAAAAGTCAACGGTAACGGTTTAATTTTAGCCTTAATTGGTGGTTTTGCTCATTAGCATTTGTTTGCGCATCGATTGGTGATTTGGCAACGAGTGAACGCCTAAAAAGCTGCTACCAAAGTGACGAAAAACCAATATGAACACCTTAGGCCGCCGGCTGATGAGTAGGCGACACGAGGGGGCGACCCGAGGGGGCGACAGTGACACTTCATTATGTAGTGTGGTGTGGGTATGGGTGTGTGTGTGTGGTTGATTGGTTGGTTGTTTGGTTGTGTAACAGGTATTTGGGCGCCAAATTACCAGCGCGCCCCCGACAGCAGCGATTTGTTGACAAGTGGAATTTTGCAAAATAAGCGGAAATAAACGGAAGTGAGTACACACGATACGAGTATGTACATATGTACGTATGTAAGTGTGCGCATATGTATATGAGCTCATGTAGGTGTTTAAGTGTAAAAGCTTCTATATTTGTGTGTTTGTGTGTGTGTTTGCTGGAAATTTGCATAATTGAAAAATTTTGTGCACACTAATATCAGCGGCTGTGGCTGTGTATGTGTGTGTGTCGTCACATCAGTTTGTGGTCTCCAGATATGTGTGAACATTTGTGGGCCTTCAAACGACCGAGTTGTTTGTGCACCGCAGTGTGGGTTGAGGAAAATATGCATGCAAACACATCCTTACCTATATATATGCATATACATACAAATACATCTAATCACCTGTATACTTGGCTTCTTATATGTATATATATTTCACATACAAACATATGTACATGCGGATATGCATACATACGTATGTATGTATGCCCTGTGGCTGGTAGTTAAGTGCAACTTATAAATTTTTTAACAAAATTTACCGTTGCTTTTGCTGAGGTTGTCAGCAAACACTTAGCGTGCGCGTATTTAATGACCTGAGTGATAACGGCAATGCTTAAAGGTCAATTTTGTTATGCACTTAATTAAAAGTGTGACATACGAGCATGCATGAATGGAAGGATTTAAATATAAATGAGTTGGCAGCAAGGAGAGAGCGAATTTTGGAATATTTTTATTTTAATTAAAATTTTGGTTCTAAGTTAGGTGATTTCCTATGCTGCGCTTTCTTTATTAGTGGAATAAGAATTTTATTTTTTATACACTTACATACGTACACACACATAGGCCTACAAGCTATAACCACACACGTCAACAATGAGATGAAATTCCGCACAAAAAGGCAGTGACGAAACTCTAACGAAGCGAGCGGCCGGCTAAGACAGCGTGGGTCGCTAACTAACAACCCAAACTACGCTGAAAGGAAAAACAAAATAAACAAAAGAAACAGAGTGGACGTGAAAACAACGTTGCCTTGAACAAACGAAAGTCGTACGACAAAAACATTAAACCGCCTAAGTGAAGGATGGGTGAGGAGGAACGAAGGGAATGATACTGTCGGCACGACAATAGCGCACGAAAACATCGAAAACAACGAACAAACAACAGCGTGATGCTCATGATTCCTGGTCGGGTGTGCGTTCCGATTTCGGTGCTCCTCCGGTGAAGCCGCCAAACTCCAGCTACGCCACTAAAATTCTACTTCCCAAAAATAAAATAAACACAAAATTATTTCGCCG